CCTCTGACCCCAAAATCGAACCAGTCTACTTCTCCTTATGACAAGAACCTACCGGATGCCTCCGCGACCCTTCATCAACTTGCGTCATACGTCTATCATATGCCTCTATGACCCCTTCGCGAATACGATACAAGATAAGAATAGGGGGCGATTTCATTCTCCAATCCTGCCTCCTCGCTAGTTGTGAACGACTAACTGGATTTCATAGTGCATGCAAACATGTTAAACGATGCAAATCCTGTCTTCAACTACGATAGCAACAGGCTATCCTTGCTAAAGGCAACATGATAGCTTGTTCTAGAATCCTTCACTACGTCCTGACACGGCCTACATGTAGAACTTCAAGGGAATCGTATCTATTCCATCAGACGTGAATGCCTACGATGTCAAGAGATGGGCGCCGAGGGCGGTTAAACAAGCTACGTATGTTGTATATCCTACCGATGCAGCAGACATCTCTGCGGCCATTATCGTGAGTGCCTTAAGACCACTTCACGTCCATCATGGGACCCATCTGATGACGGCCGTCTGATTCAAAAGTTTGCTCGGGAGGCGGGGTTACCTCTTGCAATTTCGGGAGGTCGACATGATCCCGATGGAGCATCATCTACGGAGGGCGTGGTCATTGACATGCGCAACATGAACGCCGTCCGAGTTGACAAGGGGAACAAGGTCGGATACTTTCAAGGCGGTACTACACTTGGTCAAGCTGTGGAAGAGCTTTTCAAATATGGTATTCTGGCTTTAGTTTCATGAAGATCTTATGATGTATACTAAAGCTTTGTCTTGTCTATTAGGAATGGCTACAGTAACTGGCCATGTAAGGCTTTTGCTTCTGTGATACAAAGATACGCCTGCTAACAACGCCTCAAGTGTGGCACGGTTGGTCTCGTTGGGTTGACGTGTGGCGGAGGTCTTGGCTTCAAGATGGGCCAGTATGGACTGGCATGCGATAATATCGCCTCGGCCACCGTAGTTCTTGCCAGCGGAGAGATTGTCATTGCCAATGAGCAGGAAAATTCTGATCTGCTCTGGGGGATCAAAGGCGGTGTGTTACCTGCTTGTCTGCTATCACTTCGCTGATCTAAGCCATATATCACGACACAGGTGGTTCGAACTTTGGAGTAATTGCGGAATTGGGCATGAAGTTGCATGAAGCGCGCCCTGATGTCCACACCAACAGTAAGCCTCTTTTTCATGACGTGTACCAGTGCCAACAAGCTCTCTTAATATCATCAGCGTACGTTTATCTTCCCGAAAAAATGCCGGAATTGGTGGCGGAGTTGTCAGAATGGATGACGGTGCAAACGCCTCAAGAATACGCGCAACTTACGTTCAACGTCGGTCCTGACGGGAAGGTGAGCCATTATTCTTGGGAGTTATGGCGCCACTCTCGCTGACTCGCCGGCAAACTAGCCGTATCTCACGATTTACTGCATCGGGGACGTTAACGCAGAAGATGGCGAGCGTCTGTGGAGCCGTTTCCAGAAGCTCGGTAAGAATATGATCCTATACATGCGGTCAATGGCCCATCTAAATCTCCCACTTCCTAGGGCCAATCTCGAACAATCCCGAGCAGGTTCCGTACGACATGTATACTAGACCTGCTGACAACTTTACCGTCCTGTCCAGTAACAAAATCCACCACGGAGCCCACTTCAACGTGTTCGACCATGAGATGGTCAAGAAGTCTTACGACATGTGGCTGGCTGTCATCCCCTACGCATCAATGAGTGTTGTAATATACGAGTTTTTTCATTACGACCTCGCGTCGACCGTCCCGGAGGAAGCGACGGCGTTCTCACAGAGGACTACGGTACGTGATCTCGCATTAGCTGAGGTCCTCATATTTCTATTATCTGGCTTTTCTTTTCAATCAAACAGAATAAAATTGCGTTTATCAGCATCTGTGGTTTTGAGGACGCGTGGATGGCGGAGGCACCCAAAGCCTGCAAGGAGATCCAAGCCTGCATATCATCGTCGTCTACCGAGTCGGCTAGAAACTCGATCGGGTACCTCAATTATGCATCCATAGATGCATCAGAGAATGACACGGACGAAAAGGCGAGGAAGGCCTTTGGATCCAACTATCCTCGTCTACAGCAGTTGAAGCGCAAATATGATCCGGACATGGTGTTCAACAAGTGGTTTTGTATCAGGCCTGCCGATGTGTAAATATGATTGCTTAAATTGAGATCCATTACGCATCTGATATCGGAGTGCGTCCCAGACGCCTTGTAGTTTATATGTTGCATGAGGAAACTCTGAGACCGTCTGAATAATGATCCATCAGAGCACATAGAAGCAAGTCGCTTGTTGAAGTTCAGGGTAGGATCAATTGATTTGCTGCCTGGGATGCCAAAACGTGTTTTTCCTGGAATTCGGTTGACAGATAAGGGCACAACAATTTGACAGGACACACTTCGCGAACAACTGTGAAGATGCAGAAGAATAATGAATGTCATACAGTGAGACGGTCGTAAGCAGACTATATGAAACCGATCTATGAGACACCGACAGTCAATAGTTAGCGCCTATACTCGCCGATGTGCATATCGAATTGATAACATCCACGACTCACCTTGTTCGCCACGTCCAGTGCGTCATGCTCTGGTGATAACTTCACGTACGCCTTCTTCTTCCCATCCGGCCTGTTAGATTCCAACCATCAATTATCAATGCTTTACGACATCCACAAGAAAAAGCCAAACAAACGTACCGGATAAGCGTATTCACTTTCACTGCCGACACATCGTACAACTTCTTCACGGCGTCCTTAATATGTCGTTTGTTCGCCTTGATATCCACAATGAACACGAGCGTATTATGACCCTCGATCTTCTTCATGGCGGATTCGGTGTTCACAGGTGAGATGATGGTCCGATACTGATCCATGCGTGGGGTGGTCGGTATGGACTTGCGAGGGTATTTGGGCGCTTTGGGTAGGATTAAAGTCTTGGGACGGTAGAAGCGGGGCTTGGTGCGGATCTTCCGCCGGCTGGTGCCATGGGCGCCCTTCACGACGGCTTTCTTTGCGGCTTTAGCCTTGGCCTCCTTTGATGTGGGCTTGGCATCTTTGGATGCTGTCTTGGGTGCGGACTCGCCTCGATAAAAAGTGGAGAGTTAGTGTGGGCGAAGAGTGGATATGAGGCGAAACATGTGCTCACCCTTCTTCGGGGCAGCCTTAGAACCCTTCTTGTCTGCGGTGGAGGACATTTTGGTGGATAGTCTGTTATGGGGGGCGTAGGCAAGGTGGGCTTCAGCACAAGGTCTTCCAATCTCCCTCAGCCCAGTCCAAAATCCATCCCATTCCAGCGATCCGACGCGCAAAGTTGGGCCCGTTGTCCTAGCTCAACAGTCCTCCCAATATCCACGACGAAGTGTTTGGATAGAGAGCCATAAGGAATTGTAGTCTCACCTTGCGATGGTCGGTGTCGATCAGCCTCGCGCCAATTTCGATGATCAGGAGGCCCGTGCGCAAATGCTTGCCTATCACATTCGCACATTCCACCAAGACGCCGCGCCCTCACCTCACACTCGATCTCTTTATATGCATGTATCAGTGAGGTTTGGAGTACGGCATATATGGCTCAATACTCGCCTGGGGATTCGGTATTCGATGCAAATCCAGTAGGACAGCCAACAGCCAGCACCCCTAAGCTAGAGAGACCCCTAAGTTGAGAATTGCAGGAGTGGTCAACTTCATCCATTAGAGCACAAATAGCAGCACACCCCCAGCACAATCAAGCTAGCTCTTCATGAACGCCAACAACTCTGCTCTATCTCTTGCGTCTCTCTTGGCCATCCTTGCGAACCTACGCGCCCCTCCGATGCTCATATCCGGCCCAACAGCCGCCCCTCGACGAGAATTTCGTTTCTTCTTCAACTCAAGCAATCGAAGGGCTTCTGAGGTATGCTTGATGTTCTTCGCCAGGCCAGCCTTGGACCCGATCCCCGAACGATCGGCTCTGAGTATGGTCGGTAGCGGTGTCAGAAGCGCTCGACCGTCGTGGTGTGGTCGTGGTGCTGCCACGTCTGAGGCGGAGATGGCGTGCGTCGCAGATATGTTGAGTTCATCGTCTTCGTCGTCGCTATCGGCTGTGAGATCCACGACCTCGACCTCCTGCGCTTTCTCCTTGTCCTTGAAGCCAATACCTCCACGCCTTCTGGCTATGGTGCCTTCATCATCACTCTCCGATTTAAGAGTACGGTTTGAGGGGGGAGCCTGGAGACCCAACGGCTTCCCTTCCTCCCAACCGAACTTTTGCAACATGCCATAGCCTTGATTCGCTGGCCCAAGTACGGTCCATACCGGTGGTACGAAGGGCGCCTCGGAGGGTAATGGCGGTGGTGCGCGCGAGAGCATATCAGCAAGTGATGAAGTGGACGAAGAGTGAGAAAGGGGTGTAGAGCTACCAGATAGTTGACTGTGAAGTACCCTCGACAGAAACCATGTCGGGTCCTTTTTGGCAGATGTTGTCGTAGGAGCAGTTTCGACCGAAGAAGTGGTCGTGGGAGGCTGATTTACTTCAGGCTGTATTGTTACTGGTGGTGGTGGCTTGGCTCCCGTGTCATTGGCACGCTTCAAGCCCCGATACCAAGACCCAATATCACTGGGTTTATGATCGATGATCTGGATCTCATCATCGTCTTCGTAATCTGAAACAATTGGACGGCCGTTGTCATCATATAGCCCTGAAGGCTTGACGAATTTGGGAGGTCTCGCGATACGTTGAGAGACGCTAAAGGTCTGAGCCTGTGACCATGCGTGGGCATCTTGTGCAGCTATCTCCTCTGCTGTTTCCTGAACGGGATGCCCTTCTTCTCTCTCAGATGGAGCCTCGTAGTCTGAGATAATGTGGAATGCACGGGTCGCCATGGATCGGTGGTGGTGGTGGTGGTTGGTGGTATTGATCTACCACATGTTCATCGGACGCTAGATAACAAACACAAGTAAATAATCGAGATGAATAGCTTTTCCTGGGGCAACTCTAACATCTGGTCGGTTAGCTCAGTTGGTTAGAGCGTGGTGCTAATAACCAGTTTACGCCAAGGTCAAGGGTTCGACCCCCTTACGGATCATCTTTTGCCTTCCTAGATAACCTCCATCAGTGCATTGCATTTTCGGCTGGACGACTAGAAGTTACCGCTTTCAAGGCCTTTGAGAAACACAATTTTATGGCACTTACAGCTGTAGGTTACGTACATCTTTATTGGAACTAAGCGGATTCCAAAGCTCGGGGAAGTACGTCCCATGTTCCGTAAGATACCCCCTCGCCATCTCCGACTTTCTCGCCCACAAGCCGCTCATAGGGTATTGCAAGTGCGGCTATGGGAAGTATTGTGGGTTGACCGGCCGCGGGCAGTCGGCAAAGACTGTTACCGAAGTCTGCGCAAACATAAATAGTAGAGTTTAATTCGCCATGCAGCTACTAGGGTCGAATTCGAATATGCTTCTCAGCACGATATGGTTATCATCCTATCCGACTTGTCGATTTGTGATCATTGCCGATCTGAAACCGGCGGGTCTCGACACCGTCTCACATGCCGCGGGCCAGTCGCGTCTGTTCCCACCCTGACTCTGGCATACGTCTCATGCCACGGTCTCCACGGTCTCTATCCCGACCCAATGATATCTTTCAACTCTTCTATCTGTTTCTATAATCCACCCACGGGTCCGCTGGGAGTCCTTACTTAAGGCGTCGAGGTTCATGTGAATTCTTCTCCCCAACATCTCAGTCTCCCTCTTCGTCTCGCAAATTTCCACCTCGTCTTCATAATTGATCGATGGAGTTCGAAAAAGTAGCAACAGGGCCTGCAGGATATGACCCACCATTGATGTAAGTCCTCGTCGTGATCTCATGGTGGGACAAGAGGTTTGACGGATGCCGTTGTTCTGCAGCGGTTATGGCCTTGCTACATCTTTCAGTAGCTTATCTGCCGCTGCGCATAATGCCACTGTAATCGCGCTCAAAACGGAACCGTTAGTAAACGAGCATTGCTATCCCTCGCAGCTATGGCGCCTGATAATCCTGATTTCTCTCGATATAGTCTGGCAAGCATCATAACATATATGTTACCCTACGAGCGCGATCGAATACAGATGACCAGCACCAACCTACCAATCGCCTTTTCCATGGTTTTCCTCCCTATACTCATTCTTGGCGCACTTGTGCGGCGCCAACACACGGCAACAATCCGTCGTGCCATCATGCCCTTCGCGATTATCTTCATCATGAGAGGTAGCTGCGCCTATCGCTGGCTACCACTTTGGGATCGAAGGACAAACTATCAGCTAAGTAAGAAAAGGGAACCATTTCGCGTACGCGTTGTTCATTGAACATCACACCACTTCTTTTCATTCTTAGCGCTCACTGGATTCTTGTTGGCACTCAAGGCCGTCGAATGGGGCTGGGTCTATCGCGGAAGGAAGAAGATGGACGAGGTCGCTCCAGGAGTTCCAAAGGACGAAAAGCTCAGAGCCAAGTTCGCTGCCGAAAGTCCTGCCATGTCAGCGTACCGAGCGATCAAGGATTCCTGGGATCTCTTCGTCAATTGGCGTGGACTCGGCTACGACTTTGGATCTGGGAATGGCCTCAAATTACCCAGCATTTACAAGGACGAGAACAATCGGGCCAAGTGGTTGGCGCGCACGGTGCAGGATATTGTCGCTCGATAGTGAGCATTTCGTCTTTACTTATGTTATCAAGACGCGTAATTGACTCCTTCTTCTTCTTTTCATGTGCAGCCTTGTGTTGGACGTCCTTGGAAGCTTCATCTTCCTCCAGCCGTGGCTGCCTGATGTCCCGACTCTTAAAGGTGGAACGTGAGTCCCGTCCTTTGTCGTTAGCCCAGCATCAAAAGACTAATTCGAACGGTCATGGTCTCAGTATCTGGAGCGACGAACTTTCTCTCATCCCTCGCTTCCTCCTCGGCACTGCGATCCACATTTGCGTCAGTATCATATCACATCCACAATGGAAGACGGGAACTGACTCGAATATTTTTCAACGACATAGTTCGCTGAGAGCATAATGCAGTTCGGTTCCATCGTCTACGATGTCAATTCTCTCTTCTGCGTTGGACTTCTCGGTCAGTCACCGAAACGCTGGCCTCCTCTTTTCGGTAACTACTGGACGTCAACCTCCTTTGGTGACTATTGGAGTACCAAGTGGCATCAGGCATGTCACTTAGCTCGCATTAGCGTTAGGATTGAATACTCATTGGATGTCTTCTCGTGTATATTAGGTCCTCCGTCAGTCATTCCTTGTTCTAGGAGGTTATCCACTCGGTGCTGTATTCGGTACCTTAGGCATGGTCATCGGAACGTTCTACGCCAGTGGGTTATTGCACAGGTTAGCACTATTCGCATTCGCACTAGAACCACATCACGGTCCCCTTATCGAGAAAACCCTTTCGCCTCCCCCAGCTGGGCATTCTACGGCTCTGGTGGAAAGCCCGAGGATGCGATGGTTTGGTCCTTCACTGCTCAAGCCCTCGGCCTCATCTGCGAGCGTACTTACTACAAGGTCACGGGAAAGCGCGTCAATGGTTGGTTCGGCAACATCGCCGTCATCCTTGGCGTCTTCCTCGGCGGTCAACATTGCAGTGAGTCCCCCCTCCTCACATCCAGTTTGGCTCTTGGTTGCTTAATTATTAATTATTATTCTTTGTACAGCGGACACTTGGGCCAGGAACGGTGTTGCTGGGACGACCATCATACCCCCGAGTGCCAGTCTCACCATTCAAGTCCTGTGGCCGAACATTTTGAAGTTCGTTAAGAATCTTGGGTTGGCGTAGGCCTTCCTTATTCCTCCTAGATATTGCGTGTAGAGAGTCGTGTTTAATGTGTTGGGAGTGTATAGTGGGAGTTGTTTTTTTAAACATACATGGTTGTCGAACCGTCAACGCAGGGAAAAGTGGGCGCCCGAATGCATGCCAATCCCAACTCCGGCGTGGTGACGAGCATCGAGGACACCAGTAAAACAACTACAGAAAAAGTTGTCGAACCGTAAATGGATTCGAAGCGTGAAATAAAGTACGGAGAATCGAGTTACAGCCGTAAAGGGTGGAGGTCTATTAACGAGGTTGATGCATACCACGAAAGGCAGGATTGGTACAATCTAGGGCGCCTGTTAATGGGCTCTAAGCAACAGTTTGGATATTCGGATTGTTCGCCATAGCTGGGTATGGTCAGCCGACTGGAAGCAACAGCAGAGACGGTCAAAACTCTATCTTAACGGCGGCAGCGCCGATTGATCGCCAGGGCTGGTCTACAAATTTTACCTGTACTCTGAAACACACCTTTTGACGGTTGTGTTGGACCTTGGGATGCGCACGCGCGAGTAATAGTAGCAGGAAAAGAGGCACTAGAACAATCAACTATTCTAATGAGCTTTTGGAGGACAGCGAGACTCGGTAGAGTTTTCTGCTGTTCTTCATACAACGATAGCTCACTAACACCGTAATTTACTGGCCAATTGGGCATTGTCCCCAAGGGAGCAAACAGTTTGGTCAATGATAAGCTCTAGCCGCTGGGGCAACTTCGTTTTACTCACGAGGCTGAGGCTGAGCTTCCCTTACTAATGGCCATCTCCTTTTCCTTCCTTTTCACGACTGCATTGACAGTGACTCGCGAGATCCCGCACAGCTCGGCCACTTCTGTCTGGGTCCGATGTGGTTCGCTATATCCAGAAAGCAACCAGATTGCATCGCGCTGTTCGTCTGTAAGCCTTTGGTTCGTCCTCGGCTCAAAGAGTGCAAGCAGGTCATTCTCCTCGCCAGCCGACAGTCTCGCCTTCTGCTTTTCACTACCAAGAGTAGCAACTCTATCTTGAAGGACCTGCCGAGAACCTCCGACCTAGAATATGTATTAGTGTTGGAGAAACAGGGGCAACTGCGAGGGCTGGAGTTACTTACTCCAAGATTTTGATCTTGATAATTTGAAAAACCTTGGTGATTCGCCTAGATTTTCCCGCAGAAACAGGGAAAGAGCTCATGAGTGTAAGTAAACACTCTGAATTAAATGATCCACGATGTACTTACGAATATAGCCATCGCTCTCGTTCTCGCTCTCTCGGCTTCTTCAGCTCTCCTTCTTGCCGCATTATCGTTTGTGGCCATGATTTTGTTGACTGTGAACGTTCCAACCCTGAGTTTTTTTGGCAATTAGGTTCTCGTGTAGCTTTGGATTGTCCAAGGTGGTCAGGTACGATATCGCGCTTCGTTGCTTGTATGTCAATCTTCCCAGTTTTCCTTGGTGACATATCCTGTTATTAAACAACGAACGAAGTCTTTCAAGTTCCACCAGGCTGAATGGGGCCCTGCGAGGTTGCCGAACTGTCTCGATAGGTTTTCCACCCTGCCGAACATACAAACCTCTGAGATGACAAAATAACATCACTAGGAATACATCACTTACGTTCAAAGTATGCTTCTGAGCGACATGATAGCCCTCGTGTTCAGGGCTACCGTAATCCCCGTGGCCCTCCTGTGACGCCATGTTTCCTCCTGAATACGAATCGCTCGCTTGGATCTTAGGAAGCCAAGTGGTATCGATTTCGAGATTGTGATCGTCATCCTGTATTGATGATGTGTATGTCGCTTGGAACGGTTCATGAGTTAGTAATACACTTCGTGGGTGTAAATGGTCTATCCATACCTCCGGTAAGACACATCCGCTCAGTCACATCCGCAGGTGTGAGGCTTTCTAGGTCATCGTTGCTGTTGGCGTAACCGATCTCCATCCGGAGATCGGCTTCAGCGAAGTCCGGTAGAACAATAATCGAAATAGTCCATGATATGTGATGGGGGCATACCTTCACGTGTTCCCTCCCAGCTCGTCCCGTCCTCAAGGTGAGTGCTGAGGCCATTGATATTTCGTTGGTCACTTGTGAGAGAGTAATAGGATGTTAGTGTACAGTCGGCTCACCCTTTGGTAGGAAGCGCCCAGTGAGCTGGGACAAACAAGACAAATACAAAGGAGCTCTTATAGACGTGCATCTTCTTTGATGGGTGGAATTATGGGATGACAAGTGCCAGATATGGTGGAAAACTGGAGGTACTGGGCCGCACTTACATCT